AAAAAAAAAAAAGACAAAAACAGCAACCCTCTTCAGGTCCCCTCTACACAGTAGAGAGCTTTCTTCTTTCACTTATTAAACTTTTGCTCTAACTTCGTCCTTGGTGTCCGCGCTACTACATTGTGGTGCATTGGCAAGACTGTAACATGGATAAGTTCTTTAGTGGTGATGTCTGAGATTCTGGTGCACTCATCGCCCGAGCAGTGTACACGGTACCCAGTGTGCAGTCTTTTATCCCTCACGCCCCTCCCACACTTTCCTCCGAGTCTCCAAAGTCCGTTATATCATTCTTATGCCTTTTTGTCTCTTTCTTTGTTTTTGGAGACGGGGTTTGGCTCCATTGCCAGGCTGGAGTACAATCTCAGCTCACTGCAACCTCCGCCTCCCAGGTTCAAGTGATTCTCTTGCCTCAGTCTCTCGAGTAGCTGGGATTACAGGTGCACATCACCAAGCCCAGCTAATTTTTGTATTTTTAGTGGAGACGGGGTTTCACCATGTTGGCCAGGCTGGTCTCAAACTCCTGACCTCAGGTCATCTACGTGCTTTGGCCTCCCAAAGTACTGGGGTTACAGGCGTGAGCCACCACGCCTGGCTGCGTCTCTTTCTTTTTTCTTTTTTACTTTTATAGATATAGGTCTCACTATGTTTTCCAGCCTGGTCTCAAATCCGTGGCCTCCCAAAGACCTGAGACCACAGGCATGAACCACTGCACTCAGCCAAATCAGTATTCCTTTTCAAGGTATAGCACTGAAATCTGTCAATTTAGCTTAGTAGTCAGCTGATTATTGGACACAGAGTTCCTCAAATCTGAGGAACCATTAAGTCTCGCAGCGTTTCCTGAGAGACTGTGCGTGTGGGGGCCTGCCTTCAATGCTCAGGTAGGAATTTCTCAACTCTGCTTCAGCCTTTACTCTTTGCTTGTGAAGGGCCTCAAGGTCTGACAGAGATGAGAATATAGGGACCTTCAGACATTTTCTGGGCAAGTGCACAACCTTGCACATGCTCATGAACTTGTAAGATTCCAAGGAATATGTTAGAGTTTGCCAGAGCTTCCTGTGGATATCTCATACCTCAGCTTTCGGTGTCTTGCTCTTTTGCACAGTCTGGAGTCCAGCGGTGCGCTCTCGGCTCACTGCAACCTCTGCTTCCTAGGTTCAAGGAATTCTCCTGCCTCAGACTCCCGAGTAGCGGGGATTACAGGCATGTGCCACCATGCCTGGCTATTTTTTGTATTTTTTAGTGAAGGCCTGGTTTCACCATATTGGCCAAGCTGGTTTTGAACTCCTGGCCTCTGGTGATCCACTGGCCTCAGCCTCCTAAAGTACAGGCGTGAGCTACTGCACCCAGCCCCCAGCTTTTCTTTTTGTGTTTTTTGGTCAGCTTCTGGTTTGCTCCAATTGTTATCATTTAACCATAGCAACTCTAATGTTAAATAATTGTTACTGATTGTTTTTGAGTAATGCCCTCAGGGAAAAGGCTTTTTGCACTGAGTTCTGAGTCAGATCAAATAAAGACCAGCCCTGTGAGTGGAGGTTTCCAGGGAACTGCCAGACAGGTCTGTGAATGGCGCTTTGGGGAGCTCCAAACCCATTTGGTTTTCTATAGTGGCTGCTAGGCTGTTCATTTGCCATGATACAGAGTAGTTGGTTCTTGAGATTACTATGGACCTAAAGAGATGGGGATGGGAATAGGACAAAATAAATTGTCACAAAGTTCACCGTTCTTACCAAGATGCAGCCGTTTTTCTCGAATAAATGCCCTGGAATTGCTGCAAAAGTTTGGTTATTGTGCAGTGTTCCAAGGAAATTGGTTTTGACAATTTTTGTCAGTGTTTTCAGTGCTCTAATGAGAGAGCATATTTTCAAAAGTCTTTACTCTGTCATTCCCTCTGATGTCACTCCAGAATCTGAGGAAGATATATCTAGTGGTGTCTATATGCTTTGGATGGCTTTAGGCTCATCACAGTTCTAGGGAAGAACACGCAACCTGCTTCATCTTTCTAATATCACCTGTGTCCTGTTATTCTTACTGTATATTGTGCACTGGAAAGCCCTGTATCTCAGTTTGACTACTTGACAAGCTTTTCAAGTTTTAGAATACATTCCATTTATTGGAATGTATTGGCTCACCACAACTTCTACCTCCTGAAACCCAACATGCTATCTAAATTTGCATCATTAGGGAAAGTGATCTGGTGATAGTGAAAGAAAGGGCAGCGATTCTAGATTCACGTCTAATTTCAAATCCTCTTGTTTGTCTTAGAAAGTTAACTTTACCTCTCTAAATCTCAGTTTTTTTTTTGTTTGTTTGTTTGTTTTTTTTTTCATTTGTAAATAGTGTAACACCTACTTCCTGGGGTTATTGGAAGAACTCTATGGATCGGTGCTTAATTACTACTGACCTCTCCTCTCATTCCCTCCCACCTCTGC